AAACGAGCTGCTTTGAGACCCATCAGAAACGKGGAGAAGTTAGAAAAGCTTCACTTTATAAAGACTCAACTGAAGGATTTAAAAGAATTACGCCCTGCAGACTCCGCCTTCGTCCCGGCGGGGGGCGGAGCCTGCTGAGGGACAGGAAGACAGAAATGATCCAATCCGGCAACAGACTTGAGAGAACTGTTTATTATGAATATGGCAGCTGGAAGGTGAGCAGAGAGGGTTATAAAAAGACAACATGTGAGCCGTCCTGGATGAGAACCTAAAGTCAACGTAGAAAAACATTTGAATGATTTATACATTTTGGATTTGCAGCGTTACGGTGAAAACTGAAGTAAACAAAGATGTGTCTAACTAAAGAGGCACTCAGTTAGCATCAGTCATGAGGTCTGACCCTTCAGCAAGGGAAACCAAGTCAAACAGAACAAACAGAAATGTACCATAGTTTTCTCTTTTTAATACTTTAATTTGTTGGTATTTAGAGTTTTATAACACTGTTAACACTGATAATAAGAGATTCCCTCTCTCCCGTATTTCAGCTACTTGGCACCAAGTTCCTCATAAAAGAATCTGTTGAATTGTACAAGAAATAGTTAAAAACACAGACAGCTTCTTCACAGATAAATGAAGTGATTTTTCAATATTTCATTTTTCAAACACCACAGATTGGACAGCAGCTGAGATTCAGGGGCTTTAAAATCACCAGCGAACGCTTCGTTTGTCCACAGAAAACACAGAAAACACAGAAACAGCTGAAACCAGCTGTTTTACTTACATGTGGGTGTATTTCCTGGTTAGTTACCCCGCCCCCCCACACCCACCTGTTTGTGCCCTTCAGCTAGCTGCTAACCGCTAACTGCTAGCCACAATCCAGCTCATCCCTGCTGTTCAGTAAACCCAAAGGTAAAAAATGTTAAAATCCTGAGGAGCGCAGAAAGAAAAAGCTCCTAAAATCTAACATTTAACCGTAAACAACCTGCAGACTGGCCCCGCCCCCTCCCTCCCCCCGTCACATTCTGGTTGGGACTTTTTTGTATTTTTTGACTTTTTTTTTTTAAAACTTCAGTGTCAGTAACAAGACGAGGACTTTTCACAGAAAGCACAGACACTACAGGTTGGGTTTTCCTGATGTTGGGGGCGGGGCCAGAGGCCTCCTTATTGCCCCGCCCCCTCGTAGATTCAACAGACCGTAAAAAAAACAACAAAAACAAAACAAAAAAAACAGGATGAGGGTCGAGGAAACACAGACAAAGTTACTAAACATGCAGTTCAGTTTTCAAAACACCTAGAAAAATAGATTTATAGTGAGAAATATTTTTTCTTCTTTAAATTTCTTTAGAAATTGTTAAAACTGTTTTTTTTTAATTCTGAAAGATTCTTTTGATTTTTTTCTCTCTTCTTTAACTTAGTTTGTCCCGTGAGAGAAACGAACGCAGGAAGTCAACAAGTTTGKTGGGAACCATCGAAATACACCCAACGCACAGAAGAAACCCCGAGGAACTCTGGGAAACCGTTCACGGCTCGGACCGTCGGGTCGCAGCTGAGCCAGATGTTTCTGCACAGCTGCCTGACTGCAGCTCAGGAAGACCTGGTCTGTGCAGGAACACCTGGAAACATCTGGACCCAGATGTTTCTGCACAGCTGCCTGACTGGACCAGGACTCCTCGGTGCAGGAACATCTGGAAACATCTGGAGTCCCAGAGCTCCTGGCAGCTGAAACATGGCTCCATAAATGTTTTGAGCTAGTTAAATAATCTTTTCCTGTCAGAGAAAAGAGTTAAAGAGGTTTGAAGAAGACTACACAACAGCAAAAAGCAACAGCGGAGTGAAAGAGAGAAGAACAGAAAATAAAAACGCAGATTTACAGACAGAAGAAAGAAAGCAGCAAAAAGGTGGACTTTACAAATTCTCCTTTTTTTTTGTTTGTTTGTTTTTTGCTTTGCAAAGGCCACCAAACACGAAACTCCACAACCTCCACTGGATTCACTAAGACTGCAGGGAAACAGGAAGAGGAGGAGGAGGAGGAGGTGCATCTCTCTGACTCCGCCCCCTCTCCTTCCACACTAGAGATAGAGCACAGAGAAGACAAAGGACAAGAACAGCTACAGGAGCTCAGAATATACTGCATATAGTCAACACACACAGAGAGAAGTCGCCATGAAAGACTCTGACAGCAGAGACACGAAACACATCGGAAACACGACTTTACGGCTTAATTACACAGAGTACTAAAGATGACGTGATGTAACGACCAGGCTGTCCTCTCYGACAGTTTATACCTCCGAATTATCACTCCTTGTTTTTCAGTTGGTTTTTACCAAAACAAAACGAGAAACAAAAGTTACAAATGAACAAGAATCACAGTGTTTCCAAACACCAAAACTGTTCATTTTTCTGAGTTTTTTTTTTCAGAGGCTGGGAGGAAAAACACAACGAGGGCAACGACAGAGACAAAACTTTTAAAGGAATGAGGATTTTTTTTCTTGTTTATCAAAAGCAGTCTGACTTTTCCTGGTGAAGTCATTTGATTGTTTGTCAGATTGATTGAAAATGCATGTCTTTGTTACAATCTCCTTGTTGATATGTGTGTTGTTGTTGTTGTAAATCACAGGTTCTGGTGATGAGGAGATGGAAGAGAGTGGATTGTTGAGGAAAATCTTGAGGAGGTGATTCTGGTTCAGGAAGAAGAGGAGGAGGAGGAGGAGGGAAACAGGAGCCACTCGAGCTTTGTCACATTCACTTGTGAAGTTTAGCCTCAGTTTTACTGAGAGTTCACAGGAGGAGTTTAAAGGAGCTGCAGCAGCTGGTCCTGTCGGTCCGATCAGACCTTCAACACGAGGAGGTCCTGCAGCTGGTGATGATGATGATGACTTCCTGAAGAACTAAAGAAAAGTTTCCTCCTCTGAAGCAGAACAATCATCAGTGTGTCATCAAGCTGGGGCTTCAGTCTCAGCACCCACATCAGCCCGCTGAATCAGGGTTACTGACAGTTAGCACCAGGAGTCTGTGGGACCACCAGACACAACACGGCAAAGAGCAGGGGGGCTGGGGCCGACCCGATCCAACATCTGCAGAAAAAACTCTACGTTTACAGAAAGAAGAGACAAAGAAACGTCCACAGGTTTGTCTCCTGGACTCAGCAGCTAAAGGCTTCAGCACACATTCAGCTRCTTCATCAACCTGAAAGAGGCGGAGCTACCACTTTGTTTTTATAGCTTTAAGAGTTTTAAAGCTTGGTTATTTAACTCCAGCCTCTGTTTAATTGGAGCTCATTTTAACTTTTAAGATCTTTTATTACTTTTAGCTACAGTTTGGCTGATTTGGCTTTTAGCTACTGTTTTGCTACCTTTTGTTTTTTGCTACAATTTTGCTAGATTTAGCCTCTAGTTAATGTTTTGCTGAAATAACCTTCTAGCTATGGTTTAGCTAAGCTTAACTTTCAGCTACTGTTTGGATAATTTCAGCTTTTGCTCAGTTGAACTCAGCTATGAAAAGCTAATATTAGCCAGTAGATACTTTTTTGCTGGTTTGAAATTTTAGCAACTTTTTAACTAATTTTAGCTTGTCACTGTTCAGGTCAAGTTTGCATTTGCTTGTTTTAGCTGTTTCCATTGTTTTAACTTCAACAATTCAGGTAAAAATTAGACGTTAGTTATTCATCTGTTATTCAGCAGTTATTCAGCTGTTTTTCAGCTGGTATTCCGCAGGTATTTGGCTTTTATTCAGCAGTTATTCAGCAAGTTTTTGGCTGTTATTCAGCAATTATTCAGCAAGTTTTTGGCTGTTATTCAGCAATTATTCAGCAGGTTTTTGGCTGTTATTCAGCTGTCATTCAGAAATTATTCAGCTGTTTTTCAGCAATCAGCAGTTTTTCAATAGTTATTCAGCAGGTTTTAGCTGTTATTCAGCAAGTTTTTGGCTGTTATTCAGCAATTATTCAGCAGGTTTTTGGCTGTTATTCAGCTGTTTTTCAGCAATCAGCAGTTTTTCAATAGTTATTCAGTAGGTTTTTAGCTGTTATTCAGCAAGTTTTTGGCTGTTATTCAACTGTTATTCAGAAATAATTCAGCTGTTTTCCAGCAGTTATTCAGCTGTTTTTCAACAATTATTCTGCTCCTCCTACAATGCTGTTATTGCAAGTATG